AAATATCAACGACATTTCTTTGTTTTATCACATAAGATTGGTGCAGGATACAGCTTCCTTTCTAATGCAGAATTGCAGATTATCACAAAATACGTAACAATCACAGTATCTAAAATTAGAAACTTATCTATCAAAAGTAAGAATATTCCAGAGACATAACTGGAAACATATGAAAGCTTGAAAGATATGATTATCACACAGTATAATAAGATTGAATCAGCATCGATATGATTTGATCCCCAATGTAATTGAAACATACCTTTTTGCAACTGATTATTAATTATTCCCAACGCAATGCACACAAACGGACAAAAAGAGAAAACCTCAAGACAAGAATTAATGGAGTATATGTTTTTCCCAATACAATACTACAATACAAGCAAAAAGCCTTTCAAGTCCCAAACTGAATAAGAATAGAAGCAATTGAGTAAATGAGAGCTGAAGACAAGATTTTACAGTGTATGATTGTGAAATGTAAAACATGAATCCTGAGAAAACATACTTTAGTCCTACAAAAAAAGCAGCACTTAGCATCAGTAACATAAATAAAAATACATCTTCTAGCCTTTCTGAAACGGGAGCTTCCAAGCCTCTGAATCTCTGCATTTTCCACAACAGCAAAGCAAGCAAGGGTTAACATGTTAGTCCCCAAACTTCCAACAAGAATCATGTAAGAGAGAAATCAGGGTACAAGAGCTCCAAGATACATCACACCTGCAAATATTAACATTAGCAACAAAACAAAGATTCGTGTTAACGATTGAGCCGAACACAATATAACAGAGACAAAAAAAAAAAAATTGGAATCTATGTTAGTGGCAGTTCTTGTCAAATGGAAAAACTCAAAACAAATGCATCCCATATGGGCAGAGAAAGCAGATTAGGAGTTGTGAATAAACAGAGCGCAAAAAGAGTAGAAGAAAAACAAAACCACAGGACAAATATTCCAACTCCCAAATACTACGTTTCAGAATCGAATACCAGGACAGATGCTCCTTTAGCTGTGGCTTGTGGGATTGCTCACAAACACACCAGTGACCAGATTAATGAGCTACAGCAATTAGTTATCATGTGACAAAAACTAGTAACAGAGAAATACGTAAAAAAGGAATATGTAAGAAGAAAGACTTTCAAGAAAGAAAAAAAGTATGGAGACAAAAAGGCAGTAATCACACACACAACATGGTGGACTTGAATCATCCTGCAACTGCAAGTCTAAAAAATGAGGTTGGAAAAAATATTTTCTAAAACATACGAAAAGTTTTAACACCTTATTCAATTTCAAAACCTGTAGGGAAAACACACAAAATATCAAATGAGGACATCTTACCTCTCCACTAGGGAGTTGCTCTTCAGAACACACATGCTACTTTATCTCGGCCATGAACTTCTCATACTCAGAATCTCCAACCGCGGATGGATTCTCTGTAGGTGGTTGTACTGGAGGCTCGGGAGGCCAGGGTACGTTCCCCATGCTCTGTGAATAGCCAACAGTGGGTGCCATAGGAGGATTACTCATGCTTTGGTAATGATCAGTAGACGAGACCGGCACTGGCACTGGCACTGGCAGTGGAGCAGCATTGTAATAAGATGGATAACTACTATATGGAGGCTGTCCAGGCATACCTGTAACTGAGCTCACATAGACATTTGGTGGCCCAGATGAAGCAGGAGCACCATCCTCTGCTTGTACCCCTGGTGGGAAGCTTTGTTGGCTTTCATTAGACGATGGGTATTGAGGAGCAGTGCCAGGTGGAGGAGCTTGTGTCACATGAGGAGGAGGTGGTGGTGGGTAGTGCATTCCATACGGAGACAAATGTTGACCAGGGACAGGAGGAGGAGCATACTGATAATAGGAAGGAACAGGAGGACCCCAAGGAACCGGAGCTGTTGAATAGCCTACGGGAGGAGGATAAGCTTGAGTTGGTGGCAGAGGGCCTGGAGGTGCGGTTGGCGGTGGCGGTTTACCTGCAATCCTGACAGCAAGTGTTTTACCTTCTAACCGATAGCCGTTCATTGCATGGACAGCAGAATTGGCCATGTGAACATCAGCGTATTTGACGAAACCATAGCCTCTGCTTAGACCAGACACACGGTCCTTGATTACCTTTGCCTTCACAATTTCACCAAAGGATGAAAAAAGATTTATCAAACCATCGTCCTCGAGCATCGGAGGTAAGAACCCAATGTACAGATTTGTTTCATCATAGTCTTTTGAGGGATTGGTCGGAGTTGACCCTAAGCCAGGATGTGCACTAGCCTTAGCCCACGGAGGATCACTTCCCGGACCAAGAGCCAAGGTCGTACTCTGTTTGAGAGAAGGTTCAGGGATAGTTCCTCCTAACTCTGCCAAAAAGTTCTGATACTCATCATCCATTTTCTTCCCAGTTGTACCTTTCACCGGGCAATCAATACTAGGATGTCCACCATCACCACAAAACTTGCAAAGAACATCACTCTTAAAGGTATTTGTACGAGCAGTAGGACACGCATATTGTCTATGCCCTGTCTCACCACACATTCTACATAATTCTCCATCCCTAATAGTTCCATTCAAGGTGGCAAGTTCCCTGAGCTGTTCCCTCTTGTGTTCGTTCAGCCCCTCGTCAACAGGTTGCAGTAGCTTCTCAATCATACCACCAGCAGCTTCAAGAGCTTCCTGAGTCTCAGCCTCCACTAAAACATGCAATTCCTCGTTCTCCGAGGGGTCGTATTTTACATCCTTATTTTTCTGGAGCCTGCCTTCTTTAACAGACCCTTTACCCCGAATTACGATTTTAGCACCTGTTTCCTTCTCCAATCTCTTCTGAGTATTTCCTCTGGGACCAATAATAAGACCAATAAAGTTGTATCCAGGATATTCCTTCTTCGGGATGAAATACTTCTTCTGGAGCTTAGGAGGCCTATAATCCGCCGGGGGTTTAAAAGCAGGATTCTTCTTGATAATCTGAGAAATGATTTCTTGTCTTTCTCTATTCAATCTCTCCTTTGCTCTGTACTCTCTAGTGTTTATCCTAATTCCAAAGTTATCATAAATAGGTTCTGGTGAAGGAGACCTATTTCCTTCAGGTTTATCATCCAAAGGCATACCAGACTGCAGAATCCTACTGATCTCAAGTAACCTAGTATTCAATCCCTGAATCTCAGGATCAAACTCGATACCTTTCATGAAATCGGGTAGCTGAATCACTGGCTTCGGTTCATCATCTGCCCATCTCGACTTGCGCTTTCTCGTTCCAGTACCACCTTCCGGGTTACTAATCGAAGACTCAGAAGCCGGAGGATCCCACCGGCTACGACGGCGGCTCCGCCCTGTAGTCTCATCCTCTCCACCGGATTGATCCTTATGGGTGCCACTAACGCCGTTCTCCGATACCAATCCGGGCTTTGCTGTAGAACCGTTGGTATCGGGTACAAGTTCAGAAGAATCGATTAAACCCTCAGGAGACGACATCTGAGGATTTTTCCGATGATCCGAAGCAGTGTCGTCTCCCTTGGAGAAATCGGAGGAAGGAGGAGGTTGCTCTATAGTATCCGAACAAGGATTCGAATCCTTTAATTCGACGGAATCCATAGCGAACTCAAGAACTAGGGTTTTCAGATCCAGGAGAAGTCTAGAGAGAGAGAGAAATCGCGACTCTACGGGATGATA